ACAGCCCTCGCCCAGCTGGCCAGCTTTCCATTTCCCTTATGGATCGGAACCAGCATCCAGCAGCAGAGAGGAGCTTCACGAACCTTCAGAGCAAAGGCAAGAGCTGCCAGAACACGGCGCTATGAGGCGCTCTCTGGGGAAGCCTGGACGGAGATCAGACAGCCCTTGGTGGTTGGGTAAACAGCCTCGTCAGATGCTGCAGAGCCTGCGGTCAGCGAGCAGAGCACCAGGAGGGCACAGCACACTGCACCACGTCACAGCTGGGACCTCAGGGAGGTGGTGGCCGAAGGGGACAGGTATGCAACAGACAGAGCTGGTGTTCACCAACCACAGGATGCAGCACTTTTTCCATCATACAGGGGGCAGCGGCAGAGCTACACCAGAGTCACAACATCTCAGCACCGCTAGCCCAGGCAAGCTGAGCCTGCAAGCAGCAGCCAGCTCACCCATACACAGAGCAACGAAGGACAGGTCAGGATCCCCAGTGTCCCCATGCCATGGCCAGCCAGCAGGTCGAACACCTTCACCTGCTGCACAGCAGCATGGCACTCAGTCCTGCAGCAGCACAGAGCAGGGATTTGCTACGCCTGCTATCCCACTGCTCGGGAGCTCAGCAGCAGTGGGACGGCTCCCGCCTCTCCCCCAGCCCTCGTGTTTATGGCCATGGAGCTGCATGGCTTTGCGCTTGCTTCATGCTTGGAAGGCTCTCTGCTCGGGTTTGAAGATAGCCTGAAACAATAGCTCAGACAGAAGTGGAAACTGCCGGCTCATCTCGACAGGGTGCTGAGCTGGAGACTTCCTGAGAATTGAAAGCGCTCGCGCCGCTCGAGCACTTCACAGCTGGATGTTTACAGCACGGCCAGCTCAGCCCACGGCCCCCGAGTGCTGCCGGGCCAGAGCTCCCAGCTGTCCCCTCCTGCTGCCCAAACACAGCCAGAGCCTCACGCTGCCCACTCTCACACCGCCCGGTTTCACAGCGCATTCCACACCATTAATCACTTCCCAGCACACGGGGCGTATTGTGCTGCTCTCAGCTTTCCCTTTCGGAAGGCACACGCACGGCACCAACCCAACTGCGAGCTGCAACAGATTGCCGAGGGAGCAAGGGGATGGGATGAAACACAACAAAGCAGAACGAGGGGAGAGCAAAAAGCTGACAGTTGGCCACCTGGCTCAGAAACACCTCTGAAGAGGGGCGTGAGCTTGCACCAGCATAGGTACAGACATGAGACAGATGAGCCGCCAGCTATGGAGAGCTGCCGTGCCCCATCCTCGTGGTGATTGCGACGACAATTAATTAGCGCCCAGCACCCCATCAGGTGCAGGCAGAGTTAACTCTGCTGCCTGCCGGCCCTGTGCAGCGCCATTGGGCAGCGGCAGCGTCCATCACAGCGAGGAAGTGACTGCGTGGGGAAGGAGCTGTGCTGTGCTGGGGGACGCGGAAGGAGAGGGAAAAACACCGACACGCAGCGCTGCGAGCGGACACTGCCAGGTAACGAATGCTGCACAGTGCCGGGGTGCATCGATGGCATTGATGGCAGCGATGGCACACAGCTGCCCTCCAGCACATCCCTCCCGACGGCTGTGCCCGTTCCCAGCCCTGCTTGGGCTGCCGGCTGTGCTCAGAAGGCAGGGGCAGGTGACAGCAATATAGGGGCCCTGTAGCTTTCTGTGACAGCGCTGCCCAACGGGCCCGTTCCCAATTCGGGACCTGGTGGCCTGTTTTTGGCGGAGCTCTGGGACAGCCCCGCGAGAGAGGAGCGGGAGGAGGGCGGCACTCCTGCAGCTCTGCTCTCGGTTCCCCTCCCCGGCGGCCCCACGCTGCTCTCCGGCTCTCATCCTTCCCATCTCCACGCGGAGCTCGGAACGGGTTTTCCCCCAGCCCCGTTTCTGAGCAATTACAACACATCATCATCACCATCATTATCACCACCGTACTAAAACCCCCAGCCGTCCCGCGCAACGGCGGCTCACACGAGGAGGACGCTGAGGGTCACGGATCCCCGCAGCGCTGCGCGTGGCCGTGGGCCGGCTCGCGCACCCAGCCTCCAGGCGCGGCACCGCGCGGTATTTCCAACCGCCCGCCGTCACCACAACAGGTTGAGCCCGCTCTATTTTAAGCGGCGTTCGTGGATCCAAACGCGGCACCGAGCGCGTGCAGCGCGGCCCCGACTCGCGGTAACTTTCTTTCGGCGGAGGGGAGTGGGGAGGACCCGCGCCTCCCCCCGCCACGTGCCGCCGGGCCCGGTGCCGCGCGGCCCGCGCGGGGCGGCGGCCCCACGTGCCGGCGCGGTGGTGACTCAGCACTTTCCGCTCAGTCTCCGCGGGCGCGACCCCGCCCGGACGGCACCGAACGGGCACGGCGGGGCCGCGCCGCGCCGGTTCCCCCCTCCCCAGCCTCGCAATACCTTCATACCCAACCCCCCCCCCCTTCCCCGATCGCGAGTGGCGGCGGAGGCAGAGCCGCGCGGCCCCCCCACCCCCCGGCCCCACCCCGCCGCCGCGCCCGCGCCCG